AAAAGGTATGAAAGAGAGAGATCAGATCAGATGAGAGAGAAAGAGTGATCAGAGAGAGAGAGATCAGAACACTTACCAGTTACCAGCGACGGCAGACGACAAGATGGCAGACGGCGGCGAAGGCAGGCGACGGCGAAGGAGGAAGAAAGAAAGCAGCCCGCGAACGAAATGGGTCTGAAGTTTTTTTTTTATTATTAAATGTTTTTTAATTTTTTTAAAATTATAATTTTATTAATACATTTTAATTTTTTAAAAATTTATTTTTTTACAAAAATGTCATTTGATCAAGTCGCATACGGTCAAATTTGCATGATGAAATAGTCAACGTGTCCCAAAAATTTGATTGCACGTCAAACACGTGTCGAAATATGTCGGAGTCGAACACTTGTCCGACACGTAATTTTAAAAGAAATTAGCATGTCGGTGCTTTGTAGATGCAAGGATTGTCTTGAATTCATGGACATAGCCCTATAGGGTTTATTCTTTTTTACTTAAGGGCATGTTTGGTACATAGTATATAATAAAATTTAATAGTATAAGACATGATTAAATTTTAATATTATTCAGCGTGTGACATAGTATTGTATAAAATAATACATTGTATAAGATAATAACATCCAGTATTTGATAATACACTATATAATATTAGATAGGATATACATAAATACTTTTGAAAAAACACCTTTTAATAAAAAAATTATATAATTCTTCCAAATAGGTGATATGATATTAATTTTTATACAAATCTATTGATCAGTGTGTCCAAAAAATATATTAATTTTTATAAAAATAAAAATCTCCAATATTTTAAAAAAAATTATATTGAAACATTATTTTTTTATTTTAATATATTAATATTAAAATAACATATTAATTCTTGAGAATTGCACTGGTTAATACATCAACCCCTTATCAGGTCTATTCCACCCCAAGGTCTGACTAAGTTATACATCATTTTGATGTATAAAGGAATCCTACTGTATAACCTTATACTATACAATGATCACACCAAATAACTAAAAATATCATAATGTATAGTATAAGGTTATACTATCAAGCCTTATACATCACATCAAACAGGCCCTAAAACTCAATTGAGCTCAATGTATGAGAAGAGCCTACAAAATTTAAGGTTAGGGTTTCTTAGCACTCATATATAATCACACTTTTTAGCCGCCAACCTCTAATGTTGCTGCATTAGCTGGGTAAGATCAATTCTAATAGCGAGAGTTTCACACACTAGCTCTGTCACCCCATGGGAATAGTCTCAAAGAAAGGGTGAAAACGGGCTTTGCTTTATCCCGAAAAGCTCAAACTTATGCGAAAAAATGTCATATTGACTTGCCTCGTTAGCATAGTACGAGTCTAATTGTTAGCCTAGTTTGAATCATTTATAAAATAAAAACAAATGGTCTAGCCTGACCCGTTAGCCTGTTAATTTTTAACTTCCAAGCATAATATGAATTAACTTCATAAAATACTCAAATTATGTTGTTAAAACAAATACCACAATTTCAACATTCAAACAAAACCATAAATCACAACAACAACTTATCACAATATGCATTTAAGTCACTTTCAGAAGAAAAATGTCTAAACTAAATAATATATATTTTATCAGATCCAACAAATCAATCCATATTATGTAAATTAAAATAACTGCATGAATCCAACAAATGTATCATAATGCTTGTAGTAGTAAAAAATTTCTCATCATCTTTTCTATCCTGCAAATACAATTTCAAGGTTACATAAGTTGGCAAACAATTTATAAATGTAGAAAATAAAAAACAAGATTAAAGAAAAAAAAGATTCAAAAACAAAAAAAATCTTTTTATACCTTTTATTTTTTCTTCAAGCCATATTTATTACGTAGCCAATCTCCACCATATATTAAAGCTTGGATGGTATCTTCAGCCAAGCTAGAACGATAAGCATTAATAACTCCTCCTCCACCACTAAATGTTGATTCTGATACTACTATAGAGATTGGTACAGATCTTGTGTCACTCCCAAAGGTAGTATTGGTGGGGGATCGAACTTAGGTCCTTCCACCATCTACTCAGCTCACATGCACCAACTGAATTATCATCATTTGGTATTATTATGAATAATATTATTTTATTTTATTTAAAATAAATAATATGATATATGTTGGCTTGTAAGTTTATAGGCCCAGAATGTAAAAAAAAAAAAAAAAAGCCGATGGACTGCTTTATAATTAGGTTTTTTTGAAAATTTGGATCTATTTTATTAAACTATATGTAATAGACCGAACTTAACATGATATAAACTAGACCATAGAATCTTATAGGCCGGGCCGGCTCCCTTACACCCTTATCTGGAAGGTCTGCCATAAGTCAACTTCAACTAGGTGATTATTCGTGTTAGGACATTAATCAAGCCAATTTGTGAAGCCATGTCTGCACAAAGTAATTATCTTAAATCTGCTTTATAAGAAGTAACTTTATATTAAACTAAAACAATGATAATATAATACATTCCAAATCACAATAGTCTGAGTGCTTCCGCAAATCGCTTACAAGCACATCCTCTTTCAAGTCAAACACTAGTTTGAATGTGTATTTGATAAAAAAAAATTGCGTTAACTTTTTATTATTATTATTATCAATTGCATTATTTTTAACATAGCACAATGGGTTTTTGATTGAGCCTACCCCACTTAGTTGAAGTTTGATTTTTGTTGTTGATTGCAGCTAACGGATCCCTGCATGTGCCTTCACAACTACAATGTAATAATTGTATAACTTGGCAGGTGTTTGCTTCATGTTGAAGTCACATGCCATTGTCTCTTGCCTACACAATGGGAGGGGCACTTGTAACCAATCGAAATTTATAACCCTTGCTTCTAATAAGAATGGAAAGGAAATAGATACGGATTAGTTTTTATATTAAACAGGCCTAAATTGTTTTTCAAATATAAAAAAATCTAAACTTGGCTTGTTACTTATTTCTTTTAAGGTCTGACATGATCTTTTTAAAAGTCAGCTTAGTCTAAAAGTCCAATAAGATCTATTTTGCATTAAGGTTAATAAGCTAACAGAACTACTTCTAAATGGTTAATAAGACAAATGACCAATGAACTAGTCTTTCGTCAGGATCGTGTATAGTATAATGCGATACAACTCATAACTTCAGCCATACATATCAACAACAAAAATGAAGTAGGATCCTTTGATATCGGTATCAAACATCTGAGAGTCGTTAGATCAAAAAAGATCAATGGTGTCACATGCTTATAAATCAGAGTCATTGATCTTTTTTGATCTAACGGCTCTCAGATAAGGTGTCAAATTTTAAATTTGACACCGGTGTCAAAGAATCCTACCTCCAAGAAAATATATCAGAAAGTAGATTGTATTGTACAATAGGATGATACGATATATATCGTATATCATATGATATAAAAATTAAATAAAAATTTACATTTTTAATATAAAAAATAAGAAATTTAATTTGTGATTTAAATTAAAAAATATAAAAAAATTATTGTTGATAAGGAAGAGAAAATATGGATATGATTTATAATTTAAACACAAAAATCAATTTGCAAAATTTGTATTAATAAAGAAAATAATTAAATAAAAAATCTAAATTTATTCAATTTTCAGAATAAAAAAATAAATCAATGAAAACAATTGATTCAAATTAAAGCAACAGAAAGTTGAATAAACAAAAAATAGAAAAATGTCATTTCAAAATTTCTTTACTAACTTTGCATTAGTCTTACGAAGTCGAAAAGTTTTTAGTAATATTTTTCTTTTTCTTTTTACCATTCAGAGGTTAAAAGCTTTTGGCGAATCCAGCCAAAACCATTCAGTATTTTTTTAGAATTTGAATTTATTTTATAAATTTTTAAATTATTTTCTTTTAAATAAATAAGCATATTAAGCCTTTTAAATAGAGCAAATAAATTAGAATATTAAGCCTTTTAAATAGAGCAAATAAGTCTGTCTTGTCTGTCTCTCTATATATATAAAAGAATAATAAATCTTATACTAAATCTTAATTGTTGATTTTTGTGTATCTCGCAGTTATAATTTATTGTGTAATATTAATTAATTAATTAATTATTAATTCTCAATAAATATAATCTTTAGATACACATAAATAAACCGTTATAACTGTCACACTGGCAAAAATGTTAAATTTATTATCAAATTTTTTATTTTAACACCGGTGTCAAATAATCATGTTGATATATGTATGTATATATAAGTTTACTCATTAAGCCTAAAAAACTTATTTTAAAGATCTAAAGTCTGACCCATTTAATTATATTGACTTTTAAAAAAAAAACTAACCTAATTATTTTGTTAAACAGATTAGGTCAAGCCAGATTTTAAAATAGTCTAATTCCATACCTAATATCTAGCAACCAAATGAATTATATGAGGTCCTCTAGGAGAATAGAAACCCAATTTTGCATATAATTACAAAAACGCATAAAGCATTGATTTGCAAGTAAAGGAAGGACACGATTCATTTACCTATGTGGGCTATACAAATTTTCGGTTTTCTCTTTGCTAGTGATACCAATCAATTGAAGTAAAATTCAAAATCAATCAAAATCCAAAACCATTTTTTTTCTCATCATTATTCATTCTTTATTTTTTGGTGTTAACAACGATGTTATGGATGTGATATTCTTCTGCATCTTTGGATTTTTGAGATAATGCTAGTAGAGTTTTTCTTACCGTGGAAGATGATAGTGATCTCGTGCAAGCTTTTCTAGTGCATAAATATTTAACTTCCCACAGATTTTACAAGTAAAAGTTATTAAGATTAATATGCCCTACCTATCAGTCTCTTGGTATGTTTTCATGTTGGTAAAAATTGGTTCAAAACAGAATCATGCTTGGTTTGATGTCACCAACTCATGCTAGTAGGGTCTTGTGAAGCCTCAAAAGGAGAATAAATTAAACAAGTGGTTGCCCAGTATAAAGTTGTTACAGTAAAAACAAGATTAAAAGGAGATGTGCCATACGTGTATTATACCTTTTATTGACCAGGATATACACTCAATTGTTCTTTCTTTTCATTATAAAAATATACATAGTTTATAAACAGATTTTCTCATGAGAATGATTTTGTTGCATATGTTAATATAACCAGAAACCATCTTCATTGTCCCCAAAAGCTAGAAGTGCAATTTAAATCTATTTCTTTGGAACTTGAGTCAATGTCTCTCTGATAGTGGCTGTTCAAGTCAAGCATTTCTGACAATTCAGATTTCCTCAACTTGTTGCAAAATCTCTTTCCAGATGGTTGATCAACGCAGCCACCATCAGAATCTGCCCTTATCTTTCTCCCACTTTCTACATCACTTGTATCTCCCTTGAATGCTTTATCTTCTGGGTGAGTGACCATTAATGGCAATTCAAATGAAATACTATTAGACTTTTGTAGGTTCTCTGCCTCATCCATGTGCCTCTTTTCTTCTTTTGACCCAGAGCTTTCAGATGATGTCAAAGAACTTTCCAGTGAGCACATAGTTCCTCTATTTTGTTTCCTCTCCCCACAGTTTAAACTGAACCCTCTTGTTTCTGTTAGTTCTGAAATTGGAGAACTTGGGCAGGCATTGTTGATTATTGAAACTAGCTGAGAAAGTTCAGCTTTTGCAAGTTCTACACCTCCTGTGGAAGAACTGTATCCTGCGAGTGTTTCCTGTGCCTTCATTAGTACTGATTGTAAGTACTTCCCTTGAGCTTCAATTCGGAGTTGCAAATGTTTCTGCACCTGAAATCATGATCCAAACTGATTTAACATGTCCTTATGCATTAACTTGAATTTAGATAGGAATAAGTTTAGATCATATGTGCTACCTCAATTTGTTCATTGAGTTTCTTTTGTACTTCCATTTGCATTTGGAGAGCCTGAGTAATCTTCAAGCTTCTGGTAAACACAAAAATTTGATCAATGAAATGTCTTGGCAATATCATTTACTTTCAACATCAACAAAAATATTTTAAATGTTTGCTCAATTTCGAACTATTACTCAGTCATCTTATTATGTGTCCCAACACTGATTTCTCTGCTGCAATGACCATCACTGCTCTTGATTTCTATGTAATCTGCACCAAACAAGAGCATCAAGATTATACCGAATGAGAAAACTAGTAATCATGCTATTACTGTTAAACCAGACATGTTATAAGTCACCTTCTTGTTTGTTGTCAGAGCAGGTTTCTAGTTGCTGGCTTTTCCCAAGTCTATATTTCTGTAAATGGCTCTTGAGGTGGTACAAAGTGAGTCCTGGAATCCCCATCACCCTCATAAGATTCTTTGGAGTTGCCTCTGCCACATGCAGTGTGTTAAAAAAAATACATTAATCAAGATACGATCTAAAGTCTAATATCAAAATAGTAAGGTCTTTTAAGCTTGCATTATATATACTCACTTTCTGCACCTCCAAGCTGATTAACTGCCTCGTTGAATCGTTGATGAAGCTCAGGAGTCCATTTCAGCCTAGGCTTGGCATCAGTGGACATAACCAAACGCATACTTTGATTTTGCACATTTTGCAGGTGATCCATTTGCTTTTTTTGGAAGAGTTACTGGTAATGGATTGAAACATAAATAAACTTTTGATGCTTTTAGCTATGCGTCAATATGTGGTAGCTATAGTTCTCTTTATAAATTTGAGTTGTTGTGCTACCTTGTGATCTCACTCCATATAAGGAAGCATGAGTGGGGTTATGTTGGCGGAATATATGCCATGAGCTGTGACTCTTCCTCTCTCATCCCCCATTTCATACCTACTTTTCCTTTTTTTTTATTTTTCCCCCTACTCTTTCTTCTTTGACTTGAAAGGGTCGAAGAGAATCTCTGATGTAGCAACAACAGAGAAAGGAAAACAGCTCAATTTTGAGTCTTAAAAGGAGAGAAAAGAAGAAAAGTGTATGGTTTGTTTTTTGTTTTTTTTATCTTGCTGTTTTCCCACTTCTCTATCTCTCTAAATATGATTCCCTACTGAATTGGGTAGGCCCACCATAATGAATAATGAGACCAACTTTCTTAATGCTGATAGAAACTTTAAGGTAAAAATAAATAAAAATGATGGGTATGCTATTATGGATATTTGCTTGTGGTTATTAAAAGTGATAACAAATTAATCAATCTTTGTTTCAAATTTCATTTCCCCTTTTTAACAACTTTAATTTTGGTTTTCTTTTATGAGAAGGTGTATGTAACGCGATTGGCAGATTCTTTTTGTTCCTTGTAGGGATGAAGGAATCAAAGAATCTAGGATTAGATTTTGGGCCCAGAGCCTACATGTTTTTCTATAAAGAAAGTGTGCTAGAAGAAAGAGAACTAATCAACCATATCAAGAGATAAAGTTGTTCCTCTTATCAAAACGACACTAATTAATTGTGTGTCCGCTCAAGACATCGAACAGGTCATGATTTCTTAGATTATCCTAACAAAGGAATTTCAACCCCCAAGTTCATAAAGGGACCATCCCCGCATTTCAGTCGTAACTAAGCACTAACACTATCAATCATTAAGGTGATGTGTATAAGCAAATAATGCAAAGTTGCATCCCATCAAGGGGGTTGAACTAAAACACGCTTAATATGAGAGGCTACGGTTAAAAAAATGGAATTGAATATGATACTAATAATATCCCCACAATGAGATTCCAAGAAATCACAAAATATGTGGCTATGCACTTTTCTTTGCAATATGAAAGCAATATACAGTGCTCACTCTGGACAAAAGTCTCGTAAAGAAATTATTCCAAAGGGAATTTTGCTTTAATGCTGTAATCTATATCCAAGCCGAGGAGAAGAAAAGAAATTTTCACCAAAAATAAAAGGAAAAGGGAAGGCTATAATGGCCAACAACAAATCTTAAAAAGCTAATTGGATCAATTCTCTCTTCAGATTTCTTGGGTTGCGGTCTAGAGTTTGATCACTAGAATCAAAATCCAATGATTGGTCTTCAAAACACTGCCATTTCAGCACCATGGAATTCCAGCTAGTGTGCTTGAACTGTTGAACAATTTCCCATGATTTTAAACTAATGAAAATCAAATACCCAATTTTTCTATTTTTATTTTTATTTTTTATAATGGAGCCATAAGAAGAGCTACACTTCCATTCAATAAATAAGCAGTGCCCTTATTATTCGACTACTAAAATTCAAACATACACTAATGAATATACTTACTTACAAGTTACAATTATCTCTTCATTACATGATTCTTTTAATAGCATATCAGAACAAGGTGGGTCCCGCAACAATTGCCTTGAAAATAAAATTACTTAGTGGCAGGCTTTGTTCACATTCAAAGAAAGGAATATTATTATTGACATGTATTTGTAGTATGTGGCCCAAATGTTTGAAAAACAAGAAAAGGAAGGGAGAGTTGTTGTAGTACCTTTCTCTTTAACAGCTGATGTACTTGAATTTCCTTTCTTACTTTAATATATTCCATAACAAGTAAAGGAGATTCCAGGATGATGCCAAAGGGACCCTGGTATTTTTATTAGATCAGTAGGAGAAGGTCCGGTGAATCAAAAGTCACTTAAGTAAAGTTGCCTCATCAATTATTATTCTTTTAATGGACCCATCAGGGGAGATCTCATAAATCCAAAAGCAAAGAAAGAAGATGAGAAGAATGTGGCCTCAGGAATCACAAAAGAGAAACAAAAGGAACTTGTCAACATCCCACCATAGAATAATTGAAGCTTATTGAAATTTAATATTATTTCAAATGTGATTACTTACACCAAATGTCGTAAGCAATATGTCACTAGGTAATTCTAGGATTTTCGGTAAGAGTAGAGTAAAGGTTGAAGCATTGTATTTTAATACAATTGTTAAATGGTTTTCTTGCAATCCCATGCTTAATTTGTAGCAGCAGAACACATGTTCGTGGAGACACTTTCCGGACAAATTAGCAAACTTGAGTATCGTTTATTACAACTATGACACCTATGAGGTGTCATAATTGTAATGGGGTATTATTTGTTTGGACTGTTTCTCTTTGACAATATTAGAATTCCAGTTATAAATGTGGAAAGGGAATCTTTTTGAAATTTTCAAACACTTGGTTTGGTGGTTTTAAATTTTATAATGTCGATGTGTGAAAACTAAATTGACACTTTGATGACACGAGTACAAATGAAAGAAACATCTAGGAGTGTAAATAAACGTAAAAGAAATAAAATAATAAAGGATGGTATGGGAAGAAACAAATAATCCAAATTATTGTTCTTTAAATTAAATGTAAATTTAAATCAAATAAAAGAGATGGATGACATACTTAACTAGAACTTCGTCTTTAGCCCTACAAAATACCCCTACAAAGACACAAAAATCTATACTTTGTATTTTGCAACACTTCGTTTTCTATCAGACCATTGATGAATAATGTTTTCGCCTTCCTGAAGACTGTAAAAGCTCTGTTTCACCTATATAAATTTTGAGCATAGGTGCAATTGGAGTCTAACTTCAGTTGAAATGGCCCACTAATCACACCATATAATTGAACCAGCTGGATAGCATAGAAGTGAACATTGTACCATCCAGTTATGAATTTATGATGCAAATATATCCAGATATGTTCATAAAAAAGAATAGCGGGTATAGTGGGTAACACATTGAAAAACACTCGAGTTGGCGTATTTTCATGTTTAGTTTTACTTAAGATTTTACACAAAAATAGCTTTTCAGCCAAAAGCACTTGGCATAAATTTAATTATAAGATTTTCCAAATATAAAATACGCTAATCTAAATCCACCAAGTTAAAATAAATTAAATTTCTTGGTTCAGAAAAACATTGAAATCCTATAATACATTTGCCTGAAGAGGATATGAAATTCTAATTTGTTCAATCGTCCAATGTCTCTCATGACCTGCTTGAAGAGACAAAGTATAACATACACGAATATTCTCGATCCCATATGACTAACAGATCTCTGATCTAAAGGCAAATTTGTTTCTCTGTAGCCCTCAGTTCTCCAAAGCACGGCCACGTTCCTTTTAAAAAAATTTGCGGGTAGAACACGTGTCCGATACGAACACACTTCGACACGTGTTTGATATGAGGTCAAAATTTGAGGATATATGGTCAACTCTCTGACACGTTCCGACACGTTTTTTGACACGCAGTCAACTTTTTCTGACACGCGTTCAATGTTGGAACACGCTCGGACACGTTTTTTTTTTTTTAAATCTTAATTTTATTTTGTTAACTAAATATAAAAGAAATAATTTGTAAATTAATTTTTTTCTCTTATGAAATTTGACATGAAAAATTAACAAAGTACGAAAAATTGTTTATATTTATATTTATGTTATGAAATTTAAATATTTGATTGGTTATATGACTTATTATGGACTCTTATATGTATTAAATATAAATTATATTATATATATTAAAATTTTTATTTAATATCAAAACGTGTCCCAACATTTTGAAATATGACATTTTTTAAAATTAACGTGTCAACGTATCGTGTCCGGTATCACGTGTCCGTGCACAATAGCCCCTCACTACATATGACTGAACCTAAAGCACATCATGCTTGTGGGTCTCTGTTGCACTGAGTGATTAAATTACATAATTCGAAGAGTACTGTAGCAGAAACTAAGTAAAAATCAATAATTATATATGTAAGCGCAAAAGACCAAAGAAAAAAATTAGCATATGAAGTAAAAAAAATAAAAATATTTTTTCTCTGATAAATATAAGTTTAGGAATGAATGCCGGTTCTTGACAATGCCATAAGTAAATAGATAATGAATTGAGGCAAGCATCAGCTAAGTTTTCCCTTCGTAATGGTATATAAGTAGGGGTGGCAAACGAGTTGGGGCCTTTCAGAGGTCTTTGGCTCGGCTCGTAAAGGTCTGAGCTCGTTTAATAAAAGTTCGTGTTGGAACCAAGCTTGGACTTGTATAAAAACTCGTTTAATAAAAAGGTCTTAGGCTCTAATTCAGAAGCTCAGCCTTAGAGCCTCCCAGGCTAGCCTAGTATATAAATATTTATTTATACTTTTTATACTACTTGTAATAACTCTCTCTCATCAATTTATTTCACCCAATTTTATTGTTTTAACAGACTTTTTGAATGATTTTGTTCTATATTATGCTATTTGGATATATATTGAATTTATGTATATTTATGGAATTACTAGTGCTGTTTTATATTATCCTTCATCCTCCTTCACACAAACAAACCCACAAAAACTCATTCGTTCCACTATGCACTGCTCGTTTGTGTCAATTTATTTTTTATTTTATTTATTTTATTTTTATTTTTGTTGGCACTTTTTTTATAATGGGATAAGATAATATAACATGTTATCTACCTTCTCTCACTTTAATTTTTTTTATTTATTGTAGACTTTGTAAATTATTGCTGCAAATTGGAAGCTAAGGTTTCTATCTGAAAATTGATTTTTTGTGGAATTCTGTTCTCTTATTTTTATTCTTTAACATGCTAACAGGCTAAGACAGGCTTCACACATGCTTTTATTCTTTAACATGCTAACAGGCTAAGGCCAGTCGGACACGTTTAAATACAGACTTGGCCCGTTAAGATCAAAGCTCAGCTCGGCTCGGCCCGTTAACACCCCTATATATAAGAATTGTGGCAAAGAAAATTAGAATAATGAGAAGTGGAACTAAAGTAATATTTTTCCCCATAAAGATAACAAATTTTGTTTTCCTTCCGCCTTTGTCTTTCATTTCCTTTTCCTTTTTCTTTTTCCTCTTCTTTTTTTGGAAAAAGAAGGTTGAGGGATTTAGATTCTCCTTGTCAAATATCCATTCAGGCTATCTTATAAATTAAGAAATATGAAATGCAGTTAACTACATGGCTCGATAAGCTAGTTACCGGATCAAATTCCAAACACATCTCCATGTTTCATGTATGGACCGTTAATGGAAGAATTCGCTCAACTATTAAGCTAGATTTTGTCACAAGGAATGAAGACAACATAAATTTTGAGGACTCAATGTTGTTAATTTAATATGTTCCCTTAACATTTATAACAAGATTCTACATTTTACTTTTCTTTCTTCGAAAGAAAAATATTTTACCTTGGAAAAAATTAGTTTTAGAGATCTATAGTTACAGCATAGAGTGCAATCAAAAACCACCTTGGCCCAATGTGCTTGTAGCTCAACTGGGTCAGTCAATCATGCTCCTACCTGTTTCCCTCGATCGAGATGCCAAGTTCTTACTTCACCTCAAGTTGTACAATCCTATGGGTTATCATCGGTATACGTGTTGGCAGGTTCTTTATCTATTATCAACTGTTAATAACTTTGGAACTTCAAACACTTCCAAATTCTAACTGTTTTCTTCTATATGTTTCTTTATTTTTTGGGTACTTGTGAGGACTAATTAATGAAGAGACTTAAATGTAAATGTTGAATATATGAAGCATATCAAAACAGATGTTGGCATTATAATGCCAGTAATGGAATATTAATTAGAGGCAGGATACTTTGACACCAGTGTCAAATTTGAAATTTGAGATCTCATCTGAGAGTCATTAGATCAAAAAATATCAATGATATCACATGCTTACAAATCAGAGCCATTGATATTTTTTGATCTAATGACTCTTAAATGAGGCGTCAAATTTTAAATTTAACACCGGTGTCAAAGAATCCTACCTCTAACTAAAGTTGAAATTAGTGAAACCCAAGGAGGGGTTTTCACAGCAGCAACAGGGTGTTCTGATTGGTTTGCTGCTATGGCTGATAGAGTTATATAAATGGCAAGTCAACAGCAATATTAACTCATACAAACAAGTGAAATTCCTGCAGCACATCTTTCCTCCAAATCAATTTCAAAATTTTGCAGAAAACTAGTAGCACAATTTCTCTGGCACATTTATTTTATTTTATTTTATTTTTTGTATAGACACTTATTTTATTTTTTGAACTGTCCTCTATGTGAGTGAAGGAAAATATCTTTTTAGTAAATTAAAAATAATCCAAAAACCTTTTATGTCAAAAAAATTATAGAAAAAAGGTCCGCTGGAAGTTTTAATATAACTACGTTTATAGGGACTCGAATTTAAAATTACTAATTAAACTAGAACAATTCATTACCAGTTGATTTATATATTTGGTGGTTTGTTTTTTTATCTTTTATTATTGTTATTCTAATAACATGATATTAACATATTTGTATAATTATTTTAATCCTTCTTTTACTAAAACAACGTAACTTCTGAAATTTTTATCGGATTGATACAAAAATCATCCAAGTTTTTATTAAAAAGTGCAGCAAGGCACGTACAGAGCGTGCGCGACTTGCACATGAATAAATGAGTATTTGTCACGTGACATACACTGCAAGACCCAAGTGTTAGAAACTAATAACTTTTTGCATTCTGGGCAATATTTCTAGCAACTTTGGAAGCTAAGTTATTTGATACAGACATGAAAATTTGGTTTATGTAGACTAAACTCAATATTTGATTAAGGGTACAAAATGTGGCTTGACATCTGAAATGCTAAGGACGATTGAGGTAATGATGCGTCATCACTGTGCTAGCTATAACACTGTTATCTGTGCACTTGACCATTATAAAGTTTGAATTAACTCATTATTTGGTGTCTGCATCCGAGTTAATTTACAATTTTATACCTGACGTTTGAAAAAAGTTACAATGTGTTTCATAGAAGCGACAAAATTTTAATAAAATAAAATGTCAATTACAAAAATGAGAATATAGTTTCTCATGCACATATAAAAAAATAGGTGAAATTTGTTAAAGAGAGAGGGAGAGATAAAATCAGTGAATCTCACTCACTTTTTTATGTGTATATATAAAATAATTTTATCTCATGTAACAAAAGAAATTATAATTCCTTACGAAAATATACAGTTTTGTTTGTCTGGAAGATGTTAGAGATTTACTATTAAAAATGAGGTAAAATATAACGGTAATAACTCAATATCTCTTCCAATAAACTTGATAGGAGATAGGACTATAGGCTCCAAAGCCCAAAGAAACTATAATAACTATAACAAAGCTTTTTTATTCTTATAACTCTTTATTAATAATTAATTATCAAATTGACCTTTATTATAAAAGATTTTGAAAATTTAACCTCCCCAGAAAACATAACACTAATCTGTTCCTGTTTGACCGTTGACCACCAAGACTACCCGGGTACACCACTTCTTACTCGAGTATTTTTTTAAATTTTATACCTACCCGAATAAGGAGAGATGTACCTGGATAAATCTCGATCAGAAGTTATGATTCCAATTACTGGGCAGAGGTTAATATTGCAAAGCATAACCCCCTTGGCCGTCTTGATAACTGGAGGTTAAGCTGGGGTTGGATGAATGATGAGTTTATATACACAATGAAAGGGGCTTATCCATCTGTTGTGGATTCTTCTGAATGTCTCTTTGGTAAGCAAGCTACATTCTACCAGGAGCTTGACTTTTCTACTGTATTGAATTGTGAAAGAAGGCCAACCATAATTGATCTCCCTCCCACTAAGTTCAATGATTCAATCCTTGGGCAAATTCTGTTTTGCTGCCGGAATGGTACCATATTGCCACCATCAATGGACCCTAGCATGTCAGCTTCAAGATTCCAAGTGCAGGTCTTCAAAATGCCACCAGCACTTAATCGATCCCAACTTTCACCGCCACAGAACTGGAAGATTAGTGGTACACTCAACCCTAACTACAAATGTGGCCCTCCAGTCCGGGTGAGTCCTAGTGAATATCCTGATTCATCGGGCTTACCATTGAACAAAACTGTAGTAGCCAGTTGGCAGGTTGTGTGCAACATAACAACGGTCAAAGGAGCAGCAAGTATATACAGACTATACTAAAGGATGGACTGCAAGGGTCACACTTTTTAATTGGGACGAGACTTATTTATCCAGGTACACCCCTCACTACTCGGGTAAATAATTCAAGCAATTTTTCAGATGTCAAGAAAAATACCCGAGTATACCCCTCCTTATCTGGGTAGGCATAAAATTTCAAAAAATACCCGGGTAGGGAGTGGTGTATCCGGGTAGGCTTGGTGGTCAACGGTCAAACAGGCAGATTGGTGTTATGTTTTCTGGGAAGGTTAAATTTTCGAAATAGTTTATAATGAAGGTCAATTTGGTAATTAATTATTAATAAAGGGTTATAAGGGTCAAAAAGCCCTATAACAACTGTAACACCCCAAATTCTAACAATTTATAATAGCAAAAATAAATTCAATAATTTTATAAATAACAGCGGAAGTTCAAAATAATCAAATTTGGGAAATGTTACCGCCGCACTTGTACTATGGACAGGTGCAAGGCTAAATTTATTACATTAAAATAAAGAAAATATGTCTTATGCATTTATTTAAATCTCATAAAATTTCTAAACTTAGAAACTAGCTAGAAATATCCGAGTCGTGATCCTCACTGTCCACAGCTAGCCCCATCCTTTGCAACATGCTTCACTGAAAATCTGCTCCCCCGTGAAGGATCATTGCAGTCAAACAAACATAAAAGTCAGCAAAGCTGGTAATCCAAATCCGATATACAAAATAAATAAATAAATAAAACTCATAATAATCAAATCAAATAACATTTCATTATTAATCATGTTTAAGTTCATTGTATTTAGGGGGAAGAGAACCATGGTAGACCCGGGAAATAACCCTGTTGCCAGTCTACCCCGTGACCTGGGAAATCCGACTATCATTTCATAATTCAAATCATATCAGAGTAAAGTCAAAATTCGACTATCATTTCATAATTCAAATCATATCAGAGTAAAGTCCAAATTCGACTACTATAAATTATAATAATAGTAATCACCATATAATATATACTATATCATTTATCCATTATTTGAATTAATCTTATAAATTTATCAAACTCGTATCATTCATCCAACTCATATCATTAAATAGTTATACCATAAATAATTTTGTAATCAACCCTATCAATTTCTAGATGTTAAAATAATTTAAAATATCCTAAATATTACATATAACATATTCCAATTGAAACTATCCTAAATTTTCTAAGGATTAAGATCTCATACAACATATTTCAAATAAAACAATCATAGAATTTCTTAAGCATTGAAATCACATCAAACAAAATTTATTTAAAAGATAACCTACAATTTCCTAAAGATTGGGATTACATATAAGGATTATGCCCAAATTTCATATAAAAGAGATAACCTACAAACACTTAGGGATTAGGATTACCTGGTCTCCGTTTTCACTAACTTCTAGAAGAAAAGAATAATTTGGGGCAGAGAACCAGTTGATAATCAGAAAAATATAAAAATTGAAAATAATTAAAATAAACTTTTTGAGTGAGAAGAGAGACTAGTATAGGAGAAATATTGAAGACTGAATTGGTTTGGTTAGGCTAGGCCTCTATTTATAGTTGAAGTTTTGGGCTCGAATATAAGTTTCGTGCATTTATTTCTTTTTTCTTTATTGATGTATCTAACTCAGATATTGGCTTCATACACTATTTTATTCTTAATTTCTTATGGCTCAGATTACAGCAAACTTATTTGCTAACTCAAGGCTGACTCATGATTGACTCATCATATCTAATCAAATTACCAATCAAACATTACTAATCAAACATCAATACATAAATCATCAATCAATTAATCATAATTTATCATCTAATATATATATATATATATATACATATTAATATTAATATTATTTTATAAATAATCTAGAGTATTACAAAGTATCAAAACTATTTTCCAATAGCACTCATATCGCACAAAATAATTTTATCAAAAATAAAATTTATATTATAATTTGTTATCTATCACCATAAAATTTATATATATATATATATATATGTATATATATTATTACTACTACTAATTTATAGTTTATTATTATTATTATATTATTATCATTATTATTTTATTAATAAAAAATGGGGTATTACAACAACCCTAACCTGCTAAATGGTTAATTAAGGATTTATTTTGATTATATGAAAGGTAAATTTGAGTTAAGTATGTCATTTAGAGCAATGTTATTAGAACCGGACCGGTCATTGACCCGGTCGAGGTAACGGGTTACTGGGTCAACGGTTCAACCGGTGGGTCACTTGTTGATCCGCATGAACCAGTTATATGTATAAATTTATATTTTATCCTTAATTATATAATAAATATTTTAAATGGTGCTATGTTATGTTAGTGGTATTTGCTATGTTATGTATCCTCAATGCAAGGGGTTCGAATCTCATTACCTGCAATATTTGAAATAATTCTCTTAATTTAATAGTTATATAATAAATATATTAAATGGTGCATTTTATACAACCAGTGATGGTGGCCTAGTGGTATTAAACGGCTCTCCTCACTACAGTGTGCTGGTTCGAATCCCACCTGCTGGCTGCTGCAAAAAAATATTTTACAACTAATTTTGAAAAATCGATTTGAAGAGAAAATCGGTACCGGTTTACCAATTGAACCGCAATTTATAATCGGGTCACTGGGACAATACCGGGTCGATTACTCTTGCGGTCCAATGATGTAACTGGACCTGTTGTTAGGCCGGTTTCCGGGCCAACCGGCCGGGACGGTCCAGTTTTAATAACACTGATTTAGAGTATTCTGGCACTTTAAGGGTTTGTATGACAACCATTCTATTCCCTAGCACTCTTTCTGAAAAGAAATAATTATTTTCTATTTCTGTGCCTTGGAACAGTTTCTGAGAAAAAAAATGTGTTTGATAACATGTTCTATTTTTATTCAGAGAATGAGAATTGTGTTTGATAATACAACAAATAATATAATAAAAATAATTCCTATTAAATATAAAAAAAATTCGGATCATAACTTTTCTTTCCATATGGTATGGTTGTGGTGATGGTGACGGCGGGGGTGGCATGGTGTGACGGTGGCGGCGGTGGTACGGTAGTGGTGGTGGCAGTGACGTGGTGATGATAGTGGTGGTGGTTGTAACGGCAGTGGCTGCGACGATGGCGGTGGTAATGGTGGCAGTGGTAGTGGTGGGGATGGTGGAGGTGACGGCAGTGGCTGCGACAATGGTGGTGGGAATGGCGGTTGTGGTTGGTGGCTTTGATGGCGCCGACAATGGTAGCGGTGGCATGATGGTGGTGGTTGTGATGGCATCATGGTGGTGGTGGTGGTGGTGGCTGCGACGGTGGCGATGGTGGTAGGTGACAGTGGTGGCAATGGCATGGTGATGGTAGTGGCGGGTGTGGTGCAATGGTGGCGATGGTGGTGGTGGTGACAGTAGTGGCTGTGACGATGGTGGTGGTGGCGGCAACGACGGTGACGGTAGTGGTGGTTAGTGACAGTGGTGCTGATAGTAGCGGTGGCCTCGTGGTGGTGGTTGCGATGATGATGGTGGTGGCAGTGGTTGCGATGATGGTGGTGGTGGTTGATAGTGATAGTGGTGATGGTGGTGATGATGGTGACGGTGATAGTAGTGGCGGCGGTGGTAGTTCTGGTGGTGGTCATGGTGGCATAGTGGTAGTGATGGTGGCGGTGACATCGTGGTGGTGGGAGGTGGTGACGACGACACTAGTGGTACCAGGGCGGCGGCGGCGATGGTAGCGGTGGTCGTGTCGGGATGATGGTGGTGTGATGATGATGGTAGAGGTGGAGAGTGATTGAGAAAGATAAATGTTTCTCATTTTGTGCCCGGGAACAAAAAAACAGAAATTTTCTGATTATTTTTTCTGTTCTGCAGCACAAAAATTAAACCGGTTCATCCCGGGAACAAAAAAATAAATCGATTTTACCGAATGAGGTTTCTATCCATTTCTGTTCCCGGAAACAGAAATTAAAAAAAAAAATTCCAGGAAGGTTGTCATGCACACCCTAAGAGAAAAGTGTGAATAGTGATTTTATCGGGTAAATTCCACTGCTGTGAAATTTACCGGTAGAACTCAAAATTGAGAAAATTCAATTTACATCAAACAAGTCATATTAGGACTAAAAAAAGGTTATATTTATTAAGTTAAATTTTAAGTGGGTTAAAATACTAACTAGTAGAATAGATTTTAAGTCAAAAAGACAACATGAACAATTTTAAACCACTTTTCCACTTCAAATTAAGTCATTCTCTCTCTTCCTCTCTCTTTCACACATCTACCCCTCTCCCCTGCACTTCCATGGCCGATGCTCACAAAGAGAAGAAGGCAAGCTCATATCTCTTGATTTAAGCCATTTTCTCAGTTTTTCTATCTCACAATTGAAGCTTAGGGCCTTAGGAACCTAACCCATCAATTGGTTCTTCTTGGGTCCTCACCATAAACTCTGAATACGGACATAGCATCTCAGCCAACACCCTCAGATGTGCTGCCTCCAACACCGCCACAATCTGAAATCCCTCTGTCATAAAGAATGTCGTATCCAATGATTTTGGTACACATAAAGGTCTGTTCACATGGTCACGTAGAAATGCAGGGTACACCGACGGGTCATCTTCAAACAAGTACCCAAATAGGAGTTCGACGGGCTCAGGCTCAGCGTCTTGTGGCCTTGAAGAAGAAGGTCGGTCTTGTCGTTGCTTCGTTCATCTCTCACCGTCGGTGTCGCTTGATCTTCTGCGGCTCGCCATTGCAACAGAATCCCTACAATAACAAAATAATGTATCAACAACCAATAAAACAGAATAATAATAAATAAATAAAAATCAGAAACATGCATAATTCATCCAAAAATAATAAAAATTAAAAAACTATGAAAAATACCCTAAATTCATCAAAACACATAACTACACAACCATGAAAACATAAAACGGCCTTATATATCATGCCAAACGAACAAACCCCCTACCCATTCGGTCCACACTTCTTAAATCCGAAAAATAACA